GAGCGGCGTTGGTCACTGAGGCATTGCTCGGGTGCTCTTAACCGCGGGATCAGACGAAATAAGGGCACCAACGTAGATCATTAAAGACTAGAAGTGGCATTATAATTTTTTTATTATTTACACAGAAAGTTAGACAAACCATTCAATCAATGATTTTATTACTTCGATTTTAATATTGCAAGAGAACCAAATACAAAATAGATGAATTCAAATCGTTATTCAAACTTACAATAAAATTACTGCGTAAGTAATGCCTAAAGTTGACTTAAAGCATAAAAATAAAATATCATAATTATTTTCACGTTCTTGAAGGATATAGTGACAGTCTTAAAGATAGTTTACCGTTTTAATTTTTGAAATTTATTGTTAGACCATCTAACTTTCGCTTCCAGTGAAATTCTATCCATAATCTAAAGTATGCGTGGCCAACAATCGTCGTTTAAATGAACAAGGGAGCTTCAGAGGGCTCTTTAGTTCAAATTAAATGCGTTTAAGCGAGCAGGATACTACAAATTAAACGACTTTGTGCCTCAGAAATAGCTCAAGTGGAGTTTTCTGCTACGAAGATCGAGCAATCTTTTGGTTTCGTATTTCCTCAACGATGAACATATATTTATTTGATTATGGCAAAAAGTAGTAAAACATAGCCATTTGTCTGTTATTCTTAGCCTTTCCTTAACCATTGGATAATATCTGGAAAAGCAAGTGTTAGTTACACATTTTGTCATGAATAATTGAAATGCAACATAGTCAAACTTACCTTGAATCTTATTCCTGATTTACGAGTACTATTCTATACAAATTCATACCAAAATTTAAACAGACGTGATTAAACATTCTATTGTGGATTTGTTTAGTTGAGAGCACAAGACCGGGAGGACTCGACCATCGTGAAAAATTAAAAAAGGACGGAACTGTTTTCAAAAAAACCACACAGGCCAACCCTCGGACGGTTAGTAATTAACCGTGCCTATTCTAGTCACGATGCGGAACAAAGTCGATGGGGCCAAGTCATTTTACGCTCCGTATAGCCTCCTAGATTGAATACGACTTTGATATTTTACGTCGAAACTCGTCGTTCGGCAATGACAAGTGTCATAAAACAACCATTTTACTGCTCAATGGTTCGTGAAGCACTGGTCTGCGCTTTTCAGATTTGTCACTTTTATAGTGCACTGGAAAAATTTTGAGCGAAATGTTTGAAAAATAAACTTTTGCAAACTGTCAAATATGTAGAAATTCTGTTCAGTTGTTTAGTAAGAATATCGATGCTTGCTTTCCGAAAGATCAATTAAATTCAATTAAAAATTGCTACAAGTAATGTCGTATGTTGATCTGATATCGACATCAAATTGAAAAGATTGTTTGTCTGCATGAATAAGGAAATATGTTTGGACCTGATTTACTTAATGATTCAGAAAATGTAACAAAAAAGTATTCTTTCTTTCGTTCCAATAATGGAGTGAACAATAGCGAAGTCGTCAGTGTGTGTAAACAAAGAACTTATAGCATGGCGACAATAACAAAAAGAAATTCGTTGTCGACTCGAACGCGACGACCTAATTTCTCTTAACAAATTGTTCTAATCCATTTACCAAACTGCTAAATTGGGATGCGGAACGTGGCGACAATCAAGGAATGTAAAAAAGTGCCCCCGCTATAGCTGTTTCTTCCGACGCTAAATTGATTACGATGTAGCGTTTTGACGAGACCCAAATTATTTCCTTGTTATTATTTTTTCTTATTCTGACAACTTTATCTTCGCGTTATTCCACCGTTCATTTTTTCAAGTCAGATTTTCTTAACTTCATTTTAAGATTACATTTTGCAAAGAATCATTTTGATAAGAACGTTTAATAATTATCTTGTATCGAACAAGTTAAAGTAAAAAGATATTTCATAACATAATCATATTTACCATGTTGTTTGTCTTAATATTTGCCTACGTTCAGATGTCTTTCGATCCGATTTTATTTCACGTATCATTCATAGTATTAGACAACTTATTTAATTGATACTGTCGCTTTTAACTCAGAGCAATACTTCTCGTCAAGACTTAGGATGCGCGCCAAATCTATCCATACTTCTAGTGACATTGACAGCTGTCAGCTAGGGACGTGACGTTTATGCCGATAATCTAGAGTTGCGCCAATTCTATAGCACGGTACTAATTTTATTCCTAACAATAGTAGGCTGATGTATTTCAGGTATATACCAAATTTAACTGAGAAGTGTATGGACGATTGTGCCGCAGTTGCCTCACTTCTACTACATTTTTGTTTTCTATTAGATCTTGGTATCCTCTTGACACGATGACCTGCTTCTATAATATCATGTTTTCCAAAATCGCATAATGTCCACATAACATCATTAAGTCGACCGCGCACGCTCGCGGCACGCACGGCCGCCTCTGTCTGGAGATTGACACGTCTCAGGCAAGTAATGAAGCGAGGCGTAATGAGGGAGGCGAGCCCTCTAACACACAATGAGGCTTATTTGTGTAACAACAAAGACCCGCCCCGAGCACAAGGGCCTCTCCAGACGAGACGCGATTGTCTACCGATAACTAGAATTACGAACGAGATTTCGGAATATCCTTATTCCACGAGTTTTGGGTAATCGTTCCCCAATTGTTCGTGTTTTATTAGCTTGACAATATAACAATTGTGGGCTCTGAGTGGTTTGTTTAATGAATGCCGAAGAGAGTGACTCAAAAAGTAATGAAGAAAAGATTTTTAAAACATGTTAAAACTTTATTCTAATGTTTTGAATAATTAGCCTAGGAGTGTTACTGGGATCCTATTCCGAAATAGATATTAAAGACTACTTCGATTACGATTATATTAATTGTAGCTGCTCCTTAGACTACAGTCATCAGTTGGCGACGCCTGGTTTGATTGTTGGTTAATTTTGAATACATATAACATATTAGATAATATTTGAAACAGATCCTAAATAAAGATGTTATTTGATATCGAATGGAAAACAAACACGAGAGATAGAGTTGAAGATCTACATTTTCGTTCATTGGAACCTTTCTATACAAAGAAAGGACAAGAGCACGACCTTTTAGGTGCCAATTTGCTTTCAGAACAACACAATTATTCAAATGCAGGTAGACGTATTTAAATAGTAAAGTTCGGTCATGTTAATTAAAATACATAAAGACCATAGTACATCAAAGGGTTAGACTAAATCTCTTAAAGGGCCCCGCCTGCGGTCTTATTCTGTACGAATAACATGCGGGTGTCTCTCCGGGCTATTTAAATTTTAAACTCGGGGTCAATGATACGGGGCTTAGAGTATTGTGTAACCACTTTCACACAGAATTAGACCTTTTGCACATGAAAATTATAAATCAATAAAATTTTGTATTTATACTGGCTATACTTTTCATTTAGTGGTCGCGTTTCGATGGTTTAAAACCCGAATTTTCAATTAATGTTTTTTAAATGCTTGGTTAAACTTGGACATAAGCGCAGGCTAGGCAGGGATTGTATAAAATCACTGGCGTCAAATAATAATCACGTACCAGTTGTATGCCAGTCTAGTTATTTAGCGCAAGCGAACTAGGTATATTACTAATTAACAGTGCGTAATCTTTTTTTAATGATTATGAGACATTTTGACATTTTATACTTCTAACTACTTTTTATGAAAACTATGCTTTTTAGTTGTAGTAGACGTTAGGTTGGAGTTGGAGAAGATGCAGATACAAACATGTTTTTTTATATTTACATTTTACATCTCCGGCGCCGTTGTTGCGTGTACGCATAACAACAGTGTTTTAAGTTTTTTTTTGTGACAACACTTTTAAATTAGTGTTACAACACTAAATTAAAAGTAAAAGTAAACACTAAATTAAAAGTAAAAAAACACTTTTAAATTAGTGTTACAACACTAAATTAAAAGTGCCAAAAAATGTCTATGATACTTGATTTGGATTGCGATGCGAATAAAGGTGATTCTAGGACTCCGCAGTTTTATTTCGCCAAACCCAAAATACACTCCGACACTCTGTAGATTTAAATTAATTTATCATTGTTAAAACTGCCATCTATAAAATCACCATGAAACTAAAGAGAATCTTATTTGTTATCTGTTCATTTTCCATGAAGTTCAAATTTTGATTCATTCAACAGATGGCGCTGTTTTATGGATGTATTAAAACCTATTTGTTTATAGATGGCATTGTAACACATTAAAAACACTACACTTCACGTTTCACTGAAAATTCCGTTCTTTTAAAAAACTACCAATAGATGGCGTTATAAAGTATTGCAACGTAAAAGAAAATTGTAAAGGTAATTCAAATTTATTCAACTAGATGGCGGACCTGGGATATACAGTAAACATAATGAACATCCTGGTACTTTCTCGTGTTTAAAAGAGTATTTTTAGCTTCTATTTCTTACTTTCACTAAGACGTAATAAACAAATAATATTATTTTATTTACGTTGTTAGTTTTTTACGTTTATCAGGTCAATGTACTCAATTTTGAATGCATTTTATACTTTTCAGCCACAACATACTTGTACTAACGCTTCCATTAGTGAAATTGTTATTTAAATACTTACGACGTTTACACAAACGGTAAATAATTACTGGTTGAAGCTTCATTATCTATCTTTTGCGTTTAATGTTTATTACGTTGACCACTATAACTTGAAGCTGTTTTAGTCAAAACATTATAAGAGGAATGTAAAGAAAATTGCCAAGTTTATCTCGATGGAATTTATTTCTCATTATATCGTTGAAAGATTATAGTATCTAAACAAAAAATGATCGTCGAACGCTGATAATTACACTTTTAAAATAATTGTAAATCATCTAATAGTTAGGAATCAAAGGAAATAAAATAATTACTAATTCATGGCTGTTTATTGTACCTAGCTATCAACTTATCTCATCAAGGCTCAATATGAGCTAGCAACGTGAACCTTCCACCGGCGGTCCTTACCACTGAACTGACGACAAGGATTAAAGAAAGAACTCAAAATTCATGTTTCATTTGTTTTTAATTTATTTTGATATCACAGTAGGCAAAGACCGGGCGAAAATCAATAATTACTCTACAATAGCATGCGTGTAATATAACTTTACAATGTTAGATCACATTCTTTGCTGTGGAATCGATTCTTGACTACTCTCGATATGAAAACATTCAACAACATCGGAAAATAATTTCATTTTCAAAGTTACATTTAAATTGTACCATAATTCAGTCTCACTCACAACATAAACGAATGATATAAAAATACTGCATCGAACGATATGGTATATACACTTACATATATGCCCATTGTAATTCTCAAACATCAGTACACATTCGTATAGCATATAGCTTCACAATTTGATCGACGCTCACCTAAATATACGCTCACGTCTACAATAAGTTAATGATCTACAAAATGCCCTAATTAGTCAAAAGAATTACATTCAACGAGGCATCTTCGTCAATCAATCTTTACAAATATTATTGGATTTTCGTCACTAGTATGCGCGACCGCATTTTCCTAAGTTCATTCATTACTTTAAATTAATTAAACTAAATTCATTGACTATCACTCATTCTTTTTACAAACAAATTCTTCAGCAACGGAACAACACACAGACATCAGTTTTCTAATACTTATTAATACAAATCTAGTTTTTAAAAATCACAATAGAGTGCTGAATGAGAAAAGATATAAAATGATATTGGTCATAAGAATAAATCGATGAAAACGATATGTCCAAAGATATGGGCGAAGAGGCACTGCGGTGTTTTAAGAAATTTTGATATTCGAGGCATGATATGGATTTGTAATTACAACCATTAGTCGATGGTTGCGGTCATTTCTGCGTTGAAGATTTCTGCCTTCGCGCTATATAAATTGCGCTTGTCGCTCTAGAGGTTGTTCTAGAGACTTTAGGTGGTGCAGGCGTCTAGTAGCAGCGGCTAGTAGACGTATATCTGCTTCAGCTGGGGCTTGAGCTCGGGAGGGATCGTATACACCTCCTGTTCGGGCTTCTTTTTCACGAGCCGCTTCCAGCGGCCGCCAATATTCTTGCGAAGACTGCGGAAACTCGCCCGCTCATTGCCGACTGGCTGCATCAAGTTGTCCTGGAAAGATAGAAATCACTTTTAATAAACGGTACTTCAAACTGCATTGTACTTGGCCGCGTTTGTATACCGTTAATGTCCCCGAAGTGAACGACGCGTTGGGAAATATTTATTTCTTGTTAGATGTTACATAACACTGACGTCGAGGTAATAATATTTAGTCGCTTCGACGAGTCTTAAAGAAGGTCGTTTAGAAAACGTGCGACTCTAGAACGTTTTTGTGTATAAATATCTTTAGTAAAAACAAAGCAGCACTAACGACTGTTAAAAAATTGATGTGTAGTTTTTCATGTACTACGTAGGAAGCTACTGGTAATTGTGTAAAATAACGTTGAGGCCATGCGAGTATGCGGCAAGCCTTGAATACGCTATTCAAAGGCACATTAGCATTCTTCGCTTCCTGGTGCCGCGTCTCGATATGGGTGGTCGTCGCTCGGGTGTACGTCGACATAATAATAACATTGCTGTACGTCCGCCACGACTGGGTGTTTGTATGTAAGCCACGGGAAGTAACAATCAGACCGCGATATTGAGGTTACAGTTTTGTGCGATTTTGAGAGTATACGGCGCCTGCGTTAGCCTCCTTTGTTCGTCCGGAGCCAAAGAAAGAAGGTCGATCGGTTACAACATGTTCGCCTTGTGCAGCTTTCTACTCGAGCGTGTCCCGACAGTTAAATTTATTTCGCACTTAGGTATCGTGACCGTGTCTCGGCTGAGCTGACTCTCTCTCGCGTGGCGGGGACGCGGTTCGAGCTAGTCACGATTTCTATCGAGACGTAACGTTAAACGTTCTCAGCGAACGACTTTCCATATTGTTTAAAAGGTTACCACGACGTCAGTATTCAAAATTAAACTGAAAAGTGAACGCAGTCTGGCTGCGCGACATTAAGCAGCATTGGGGTCAAGTATAAATCCGCAACTGGTTTCGATTGTTCACGGCGCAGAATTGTGTTTTTGTGCAGGAATGTTCTATGTAAATGGAGTTTTCA